GTAGTAGCACCTTGTTGATGATATTAAAATGATTTAATTATAAAAGGAAGAGCCAGAAGGAGGATCCATGACAGAGGGTCGGCCTCCAGAACCTACAGCTCAGAAGCAGAATCCAACGACATCCAGACGTAACGAGGAGTCGGCAGCAGCAGCAGAATTAAGCTGATTTTAACAACAAGTCTGATCCGGCGTCTGCTCACCTCACGCTCTGCCGCCGTCCGTCCCACACCAAACACGTCCGGCGCTCGGATCAGAACCTGCGGAGGAAGAACAGAGAAGGTTAGCTCAACAAGGAACCAACGTTTCTGTGCAGCCGAACCGGTTCTGTTGTTTTCACGTATAACAAATCTGCTTCTGTTGTGTTTTTGCTGCTTCGCCATCGCGCCTTTTTATCTGACCAATCGTAGGCGAGGTGGGCGGGACTGGTCACCACGGCAACCCAGAAAATGGAGGAGACACTTCGAACGTGACGGGAAGGAGTCAGACTTTCAAACTCAATCAAGTAATTTTGGAGGAAGAAAAACTAAAAGACAGAAGAGAAGAAGATTAAGAAGAATTTGGAGGACAAAAAGAAGGAGGAGAAGAAAAAGGAGAAGAAGAAGAAATTGGAAGAAAAGAAGCTGAAGATGAAGGAGGAGGAGAAGAAGAAAAAAAAGAAGACGATGAAGAAGCAGGAGGAGAATGAGAAGAAGAAGAAAGAGGAGGAGGAGGAGGCGGAGAAGAAAGAGGATCAGAAGAAGAAAAAAGGAGAAGAAGAAAAAGGACAACAAGGTCAAGAAGAATTTGAAGAAGAAAAAGAACGAGGAGACGAAAAGGAGAAGCAGAAGAACAGAAGTTGACGATGAAGGAGAAAAAGGAGGAGAAGGAATAGAGAAGGAGGAGGATCAGAAGAAGCTAACGAAGAAGAAAAAAGAGGAGAAAAAGAAAAAGGAAAGAAGGAGGGGGACAAGGAGGAAGAGGAGGAAAGAAGAAGAAAACGGAGAAGAGGACGAGGAAAAGAAAAAGAAAAGGGAAGACGGACAAGAAGTAGAGGAGGATCAGAAGAAGATCACAAAGAAGAAGAAGAACTACTGTCCATCACCTCACTAGGATGAGCTCCATAATACAACAGATGTCAAATCAGACCAGAGATCTCAAACATACGACGGAAACAACATAAACATTCGTAGAAAATCGGATCAGAACCTGATTTCAGCACAAACTCAGAAGCTAAACCACGTTCCTCTAAAAACTAAACTGCTTCTTTAGTTGCGTTTCGACTGATGATCGGACTACATTTGTTATAAACCAGAACCTTTGCTGTCGCACATTTCCAGCGACAGCAGACGAAACTGAGCCGAGTTCAGCGTTCGTCGGTAATTAGACCGACGTGTGGGGCGACCCCCGGCCCCTCCCGAGACCACCGGCCACGACTTGAGAACCGCCGACAGCTGGTCAGGTCGCGACTGACGACGACAGCCGGACGCTCGACACTCCTCCTTCCAGCCTCGGCTGCTAATCGGAGCTCTGTAATCCGGAGCTTCCGTCCCTCAGCGTCGCCTCCCAGGTGCCACCCAAGTCCTCCTCAGCGCCCTCCCCCGCAGGAAATAACCTCCAGTGGCTATTTTTAGAGGTTCAAGTCCTCTCAGAGCAAACATAAAAAAACATGCTGCAATATTTAGGACGGAGCGTCTGACCTTCGCCGCTGCTGTTTGGAAACACAACCGACTCTTCAGTGAATCTGTTAAAGGTCGGCGTCCACGAATGTCTCGTTACTGATTAAACGCTTCGACCACATTTTATTCTGCTGCTGCTTCTTACATCAGGCATCAGATCAGACAGCGGAGAAGCTCCAAACTGCAGCTGTTTCACTTGATTTGCTGCAACCCTTAACCTGCATTTAAAGGGTTTTCATTTTTCTTTGTAAAAATCACTAAAATTCCACCTTTAAACCAGAATAAATACTGAAAAAACAGAAAAAAAAAGCGGATTTTCTACTTTCAGACGGTTTTTAAATGATTCATGCACAATGTACGGATCGATCAGGACATTTAAGCAAATCTTAAAAAATTGTGATATTTAATAAAAATCGGTTCATTCTATGTTTAAATATTCTGCAAAAATAAACAGCTTGCTCCAACCGGATTCTGTTAAAAACAAAACAAAAAAATTCTCGGACTGAACTGCAGGCAGTGTTTCCTCAGAGAGACAGAGAGGAAAATCAAACCTACTGGATCAATAAAATGTCTGATTTCTGAGTTCTCTGAGGTGCAGGACTTTATATCGCAGTAAAAAACGAGCCCATGGTGAGTAAAAACAAGACAGAATTGTTTTTTGTTTTTTGTTTTAAGTGGAACTGTCCCTAAAACTGCACTTTAAAAACATTTAAAAGAGGTTATCTTGGACTTTTCATTGATTTACAGATGACACAGTTCATCTAAAAAACAAGAGATAAATTATAAAAGTCATCACATATGCAGATGATGAAGCCTTTTACTTTGCAAAAAATAACTCAGTGTCCTGTGTCGTACTGTGTACCTTCAGTGTTTCCATACACAAATAAACATTTTTTAGATGTGTATACTTCTAGCCATGCTCGTGTTGTTATATTGGAAGGAAAAATCAGCCCACAGAGATGAAAATGCCCAAAAATTGCTTGAAGTTTAGACGGTTTAAGATCACAAAATTGTAAAATGTAAAACCGTTCCCACAATAGCTGGCAAAACAGGACATTTGAAGATGTTATCTTGGCCATTTCATTGACCTACAGATGACAGAGTTCACCTAAAATATACGAGACGGGTTAACCAATTGTAAAAGTCGTCATGTATGCAGACGATGAAGACGTTTACGTTGCAAAACAACAACTAATTTCATACCTTCAGTTCACTAATAAACAGCTCTGTCTCCTTCTTCATGGTTGTTGTGTCTCTATGGAGCTGCAGGACTTCATAATGCAGCTAAAAATGAGCCCACAGTGGTAAAAAGTAAACATGTCCTTCAAAAAATGCCATATTTACTGCATCTTCATTCCCAAACAACCAGCGTATGACATGTCGAGCCGATTCCCGCGGCTGCAGCAGCACATTTAACTGTAAAATTTTTAAATAAAACAACACCTTGCAGATACACTGAGGAGCTCCAGAGCCCAGAACGGCAGCTGAAACCTCCTCGGCGAGGCCTCGGGAGTTTGATTCAGCTCCCCGTCGGCTTCATTTAGCTGCACACCTCCTCCAAGATAAACAGGCCTAATCTGGGTCAGCCGTGTGCAGGTACGCTGGGTAACACAGACCCACGTCGTACCGCAGTGACCTGGATACGAGGCTGCGGCGCTCGCATGTCGCTCCTCCTGACGGATGTTGCGCGTTTGTCTGCGTGCATCAGCGTGTTGCGTTGCGCCGTGTATGTGTGTGTTGCGTTGCGTCGATAGGCATCTCCTGCCGTCCCCCCGGTGATGCAGGTCATCAATTCTCATCTCTGTCCTATCCGGCTTCCACCGCCGAGTTATAAATACACCGACGGGCAGCGAAGCAACGCGCGCCTCGGATTCCTGCTTTTATTAGGTTTTTCTGTTTCATTTATTCCCACTGAGTTCTGTGTTTTATTAGCCGTCCTTGTCACATACTGTTTCCGATAAGCTGTCGTACTTCATTCTGATTAATCTGTCAAATATCTCCTCGATCGACGCCAATAAAACGTCAGGAAATGTTGGAAAATGTCCCGTTGTGTTCGGTTTACTGGGGAGAAATTCTTTCAGAAGCAGATTTATTGATCAAAATATTTGGAAAATAACTTAATAGGTCACAGTCGGGGAAATGTTGATGATTAGCAGCAACATTGAGTCTTATTCGACCAGTGTCACATGTTTTTCTTTTTTTATAACTTACTCAGGACCTTAAGGACAAAAACATCTGCTCCATAAACTGCCATGACAGTTTATAAATATGAATAATATTGTTTTGCTGAGCATATTTGATCAGCATCAGTCCTGTCGACTTGATACCACTTTTGTTTTTACTAAAAATGATTTGTTTTCCATATCCTAAATGCTAACTTTTTTTTTTTTACTGCACTGGTCAATTTTCTGATATTTTTTCTTAAATCTTTTTTCAGTGGAAAGACATCCAGAAAAGAAAGCACATGTAGGTGCCAGTTTTATTTTGTTTTTAAGACAATAATGTAGGAATGTGCACATTTAAAGGGATTTAATCGCTGACTGATAGTCAACAACAACAAACAACAACTGTTTGCATTTATTATAAGGGAAACATTATGTAAACAAACTGGCATGTAAAGGGTTAAAACCTTAAAAATGAATGTTTTTGTTGTCGTTCTAACAATGTTTTTGTCCTTAAGGTCCTTAAATGCTGACGTGGGTTCAGTTCATAATCCAACCTGCCTGTCAGCTGTTCTGTGTTTATTTATTCTTTGTTATTTTATTTGTAAGTTTTAAAAAAAAAATTTGACACTGATCAAAAATTTATCAGAATCAGTGTTGACGTTTCCCATGAAAAAATTCTGTTGGCATTAAGTAAATGGAAAGTAAATAGTTTCCGAAAAGGTCCTTAAATACCAATGACAACAGAAAGAAGGCCGTTAGCCTTTAGTGTGTGGAAAATAATCAATATTTAACAAAAAACAAACAACGCCAACAAACGTGGCCTTCAAAAGAGTTCATATCCTGAAAACCAATGAAAAAAAAATGACAACATAGAAGATGAATATTTTCATCCTTAAGGTCCTTAAATACCGGCGACAACAACAAAATGCCGTTAGCCTCGAGTGTACGGAAAATCATAAACTTCTAATTAAATAAATAAATAAAAACAACACATGTGGCCTTTAAAGGGTTAAAATCATGAACTAAATTAAAAAATAACAACATAGAAGAATATTTGTGTCTTTAAGGTCCTGAAATGCCGCCTCCAGCGTTTCTCTGAGCGTTCTTTCAGTGACATCGATCAATAATCCAGCCTGTCAGTCAGCAGCTCATTGGTCCAATCAGCCAATCAGCCAATCAGAGTGAGCCCAGCAGCTCGTAGCACCACTGATCCAGACAGTAAACCTCCTCCGCTGCCAGTCAAAGTGGGTTTTTTTTTTACCCAGAAAGCCCATAATTCAGTCCCTGACTCTCCCCCGGTCACTGTAGACGCCTCCTCCTTTATCTCCGTGATAATAGCGGGTCTCGGCTGATCGCCGGCACGCCGAGCAATGTGACCTCCAGCCGGCTGCCGGGCTTTAAAAGGCGCCGCGGTTTGGCTAAAGATTCCCCCCAATCTGCCGAATTTATCACAGTCAAATGGAGCGCGACAGCCGGCTGATATTTATCAGCACATTTGAGTTCCTCACCTCTGCGCTGGATGTTACTTAACGGCGCGCCGCCGGGGGATTTAGGGAAATGTCACGAGGAATCAAACCTGAAATCCCTCCAAATTGTTGCAAATGAAAACACGGGAGGGAACATCGGAGTC